GCAATTCCAGGCTAGGCAATTGCAGGAAAGGCAATTTCAGGCTAGGCAAGGCAAGACAAGGCAGGGAAAGGCAATATCAGGCAAGGCAATTCCAAGAAAGGCAAGGAAATGCAGGGTAAGGCAATTCCAGGCAAGGGAAGGCCAATCTATTCCAGGCAAGGAAATTCTAGGCAATGCTAGACAAGGCAAGGCAAAAAATTTCCAGCAAGGAAATTCCAGGCAAGGCAAAGAAAGGCAAGGAGAGGCAAGGTCATTCCAGGCAAGGCAAGGCAATGCAATGCAATGCAATTCCAAGTAAGAAAATACCAGGCAAGACCAGGCAAGGCAATTCCAGACAAGGTAATTTCAGACAAGGTAATTCCAGGAAAGGTAATTCCAGGCAAGGCAAGGTAAGGCAAGACAATGCAATTCTAGGCCAGGCAATTCCAGGCAAAACAAGGCAAGGCAAAGCAAGGCAAAGCAATTCGAGGAAAGGCAATTCCAGGCAATTCCAGGCAAGGCAATTCCAGGCAAGACAATTGCCAGAATGGCATTCCAGGCCAGGCAAGGCAAGAAAAGGCAGGGAAAGACAATTCCAGGCAAGGAAATTCCCACTAAGGCAGGTCAAGGCAATTCCAGACAACCCAATTCCAGTCAATGCAAGGCAAGGCACATTCAGGCAAGGCAAGGCAACATAAGGCAAGGCAAGGCAATTTCAGGCAAGGCAATTCTAGGCAAGGGAATTCCAGGTAAATTGCCTTGCCTTTCCCGGAATTACCTTGTCTGGAATTGCCTTGCCTTGTCTTGCCTTGCCTTTCCTTGCCTGGAATTACCTTGCTTTGCCTAAAATTGCCTTGCCCGGAATGGCCCTTTTTTGCCTTGTTTTGCCTTGCCTGGAATTGCCTTTCCTTTCCTTGTCTGAAATTACCTTGTCTGGAATTGCCTTGTCTGGAATTGCCTTGCCTGGAATTGCCTGGAATTGCCTTTCCTCGAATTGCTTTGCCTTGCTTTGCCTTGCCTTGTCTTTCCTGGAATTGACTTACCCTGCATTGCCTTGCCTCACCTTACCTGGAATTGCCTTGCCTGGAATTCCCTTTCCCTGCCTTGTCTTGCCATGCCTTGCCTTACCTGGAATTGCCTTTCCCAGAATCGTCTTGCTTGCCTTCCCTTCTCTTGCTTTGCTTGGAATTGCCTTGCATTGCCTGGAATTCCATTGCCTGGGATTTCCTAGCCTAAAATTGCCTTGCCTTGCCTTTCCTGGAATTGCCTTGCCTTGCCTTACCTGGAATTGCCTTGCCTTGAATTTCCTTTCCTGGAATTTCCTTTCCCAAAATTGCCTTGCTTGTCTTCCCTTGCCTTGCTTTGCCTGGAATTGCCTTGTATTGCCTTGCCTTGCCATGCCTTGCCTTGCCTTGCCTTCATTGCCTGGAATTGTGTTGCCTGGAATTTCCTAACCTGAAATTGCCTTGCCTTGCCTTTCCTGGAATTGCCTTGCCTTGCCTTGCCTGCAATCATCTTTACTGGAATTGCCCTTCCTTGCCTTGCCTGGAATTGCCTTGCCTGGAATTACATCGTCTTGCCTTGCTTGACTGGAAATTTTTTGACTGAAATTGCCTTGCCTTTCCTTGCCTTGGCTTGCCTTGCCTTGCCTTGCCTTGCATGGAATTGCCTTGAGTTGCCTTTCCTTGACTTACCTCAAATTGCCTTGCTTTGCCATCCCTTGCCTGGAATTGCCTGGTGTGAAATTGCCTGGAGTTCCCTTGCCTGGAATTGTGTTCCCTTGCCTTGCCTTGAATTAGCTTCCCTGGAATTGCCTTGCCTTGCCTGAAATTGACTTGCTTGGATTGGTCTTGCCTTGACTTGCCTTGCCTTTCTCTGCCCTGTCCTGCCCTGCCCTGCCTTGCCTTGCCTTGAATTTCCTTGCCTGAAATTTTTTGCCTTGCCTTACCTTGCATTGCCTGAAATTGCCTTGCCTGGAATAGCCTTGCCTTTCCCTCTGTTGCCTTGCCTTGCCTGAAATTTCCTTGCATTGCCTTGCCTGCAGTTACCTTCCCTGGAATTACCTTGCCTTGCCTTACCTGCAATTGCCTTGCCTCGAATTTCCTTTCCCTGCCTTGTCTTGCCTTGCCTTGCCTGAAATTGCCTTTCCTACAATTGTCTTTCCTGGAATTGCATTGCCTTTTTTTGCATTGCCTTCTCTTGCCTTGCCTTGTCTGGGATTGCCCTGCCCTGCCCTTCCCTGTCTTGCCTTGTCTTACCTTTCCCTGCCCTGCCCTTCCCTGCCCTTCCCTGACCTGCGCTGCTCTGCCCTTCCCTGCCTTGCCCTGCCTTGCCTGGAATGGCCTGGAGTAGAGGAGAATGGCTCCAGTGTCAGATTCTCCAACATGCTGTGTGCTCAGCAGGATCTGCCCATGGACATCCAGGGAACACTAACCTTCCCCACCTTGTCTGGTGCAGAGGTCACCAGACAGAACTGCACTGGGTGTTGGTGTCAACCAGGACCCACACACTTTCCTGAGTGTGATCCTGCTTCTCTCCTCTAGGCAGCTGCATCCTTTTCTCCTGCAGGATTATCTGGAAACTCAGCTCTGGGTTTCATCTCCCTTCTCCCCTCTCCTTGCCCCAAACTCCTTTTTCTGAAAAAGAGAGGGAATTGTTTATGGGTTAATTTGTTGAAAATAAGTGGCAGCATCCACACTTCTGTTTTCTTTCAGCCTGCTGGTAATGCAGGGTTACAAAGGATGCCTGGGCTCCCACACAGGTGCTGGCAGAAGAGGCAGCAGGTGGTGCTGTGCCTGCTCGAGGAAGGAGGCCATCCCCCTGCCCCTCATCCCTAGACCAGGGTTCTTCCTGACCTTCTGAATATCCTGTAGTCCAGAGACCTCAGAACCCACTCCTGAGAGAGCAGAGCCAGGCACTCAGAGAAAGACAAAATGGTGCCATTCTAGGATCTTATTAGGTATCTGAATACGTTAGGAAAAAAATTAGAAACTATGTATAAAACTTAAAATATTCAAGTATTAAAAGGTTATTTGAATCAATGTTTTAAAACGTGCCATCAGCAAGCTTCTACCACTAAGTGGGGACTTTTACAGAAGTTGAGCAAGTTCCCTGAGTTGAGAGAAAAATGAAGCCATCTGTGCTGGGGACACTTGAGGCAGGGAGAGTGTTGGCAGAGGGAAGCCAGATAAGTCCCAGCCTGTGGAAGCCAAACAGGAGGGTGGTCAGGATCGGGGATGAGGTTGCTTTCCCTGGAGAAGGAATCCTAAAGTGCGCAGCCTGGAACTCCCTCCCCTGGGGTCCAGTTCCCCAACATTTCACAGGCCTCCTGGGCCTGCCTTCCAATAAGAACAAACACAGCAAGAAAAGATCCATTTTGCCACAAAAGTCCTTCTGGAAAGAAGAAAGAAGAAAGCCATGAATGGAGTCAAAATGTTATTCAGTGTTGACTTAGCCTCTCAATTCTTTTCTAAATGGAGTGTGGTTTCCTAGTCAGGGAATGGAAGAGGCCCCTCCCACACAGGGACAGGGCCATGACCCTAGAGGATGAAGCAGCAGCATTTATTCAAGATACAACAGTGAGGGGATCCCGTCACATTCCTGTCTCCCCAGAGAGGGCACATCTCGAGAAGTGATCCAGGAGACATGTAATTTCCTAAAACCACTCCCTTCACTCTGTCCCCCAGGACCTGGTCCAGACTCTGAGATACACTGGCTTGGGGTGCCCTTGGGTGGCCATGTGGAAAACCACAGTTTAGGGCCAGTCTGGGGCTTCCAGACCTGGCCAGGTTGTGCCCAGGCCACCTGTCCTTCTGCTTTGTCTCACTGTCCCTTGGCAGATGGCCTGATGCTTGGGGCTGGCCCAAGGACACCTCAGGAAAGTTTGGTTCCCACTCTAAATGGTCTGATTAACCAGAGGTTTTAGGGATGTCTATCTGCCTTCTGGAGATGTACAGGGGCCTTAAGACTTCGGTTGAGAACAGGATGCTCTGTCCCTTACTGTCTGGAGGGCAGGGATGGCCTCCACTGCAGAAAGTGCAGCAGCACCTGGACCTGCTCGAAAGAGAGGGAGAGAGAAGAGAGGCTCAGAGGGTGCTCACAGCTTGTGATCTTTAGCCCGCAAGTCCAGCTCAGGTGCTGGGTCCTCTGCTGCTGCCATGAAGCCTTTAAAAGTGAGATGGGAGGTGGGGGTGTGGATGCAGACAAGGCATGACTTGGGGGGGTTATTTTAGAGGTGCACAGGGCCTTGCTCTGTCACCCAGGCTGAGTACAGTGGCTCCATCATGGATCACTGCAGCCTCTAACTGCTAGGCTCAAGCCATCCTCCAGTGTCAGCCTCCCCAGTAGCTAGGACTACAGGTATGTGCCACAATGCCTGACTAATTTTTCCTTTTCTCTTTTCTAGAAATGGGGTTTGCTGCATTGTCCAGACTGGTCTCAAACACCTGGGTTCAGTTATCCTGCCGCGGTCTCTCAAAGTGCTGGGACTACAGGTGTGAGCCACCACACCCAAACACTTCGGGTGGTTTTAAGCCCCCAGTAAGGTGCACCAGCAGGACCAAGAGGTGGCCTGGGCCTCCCCAACACATTCATCCATGCAGACCTAATTTGTTTATTGTTAATTGATTTATGCATCCTTTGTTGATCCGGCAACCCTATACTATAACCCTGTAATAGGCCTTAGAGCACACGGATAGGAGATATGTGTATTAACCCATGTATATACACATATCTATTCAATTTTTATATATGTGTGGTTAAATATGAGTTCATACTTATTTCTCTAACTCAAATCCAGTATTACAGGGTTTCTTCTAGCCTTCTGCCTTTGCTTACCTATAACTTCTCTCACCAGCAATGAAAAACCTGACCCCCACTATCCACTCTTCATTTACTTATTTGCCCCTTCTTACTCATGGTGCATGTAAAGCTATTTCAGAATTGGTCACAGCCTCCCCACCCCCACCCCCACCCCTAGCCGGATGAGAAACAAACTTCTACGTTGCAACACAGTGCTGAAGTCCAGTTCCTTTGGCCTTTAGCCTTGCAATTGTAAGTCAAAGCAGCACCTGCAAGGTTACTTTGGTTTGCTCTTTTTCCCAACCCCTCAGGGATCTTATGTGTACAGTGACATTCATTCCTGAAAGTCAACATTCCCCTCCATCCTGGTTGATATTTTTTTTATCTACAAAACACATGAGAATGTCAATGTTTTATTTGGTACAAGGATAAGGAGGAAAACAGAAAAATTAATTTGATAATAAGATTTACACTTTATTAAAAGTGGTTTTCCTAAAACACAACTTTCAAATTTGGCTGCATGAAACAGAGAGAGTGAAAAAAGTGAACTTTCACTAGTTTTAAGTAGGCCAACTCACATGATCCCTCCAAATGAGTTTAAATGAGAATGAGTACTTTTTTTCTAGCTGGGAAAATATTTTCCTTAATTGAGTTTTAATAATTTACCCATAGTGATGAATAAGCCCTTGGGCTAGGCTCAGAAACCTTCTCTACCAGCCTGTTTATAAAAAAATATTTATGGGACATACATGAAATATATATATATATATTTTGTTGTTGTTGTTGTAATAGTAGAGACAAGTATTTTAAAAAATCCGTACTATTTCTCTTTCCGGTCTCTTTCTTCTAAATGCACCTTCTGAGTTTCTTAGGTATGCTTTATAAAGACTACTTTACTTAATGGATTAATGTGTTCATCAACTTTAGCACCCTATGTGTGTGTTAAGAGTAATGAGAACGGGGCTATTTAAATTGCTTCCTCATAGCCTTCCCCTTCATTACCAGTAGTAAAGTTGACTTAGAAAACAATGAGGAAGAAGTACCATAGCTCACAGGCACCTAGGAATGGGGAATTAATTCAGACTGAGAAAATATGGCTCTGGAGAGATACTAAAGTTCTATTATAAATTTATGAAGTCTAAATGAACCCTTTCTCCCCAGCTTCAGACTTAGATAAGGTGTGAGATGTCAGGAATGTGCATGAACCCTTCAAAAAATGATATTTTCATCCGTGTTCTTCCCCATTCCCTCCCTTGTGAGACAAAATATACCAAAATACAAGTGCTTGGTACTACATGCTTTTGAGACTTAAAAGCCCAATAATAAGCACGCTGTATTCGTTGATGAAGGGGATCACTTTTTAAATAAACATCACCAGAAGAATCTCTTCAAATGGAGAATGAAGTCACTCTCCCTCCCCAGATGCTATGAGGGAAAAGGGAGACAGATATTTCCCCTACTTGCATGGGAGCTCCCTTTCTCTGCCTTGGGAGGTAGCTGAGAGAAAAGGCAATGCTCAGTCCTCCATGGCAAAGTCTTTGGTCTTCTCCTCCTGGTCTCCCACTTTGTAGCACAGCAGCACGCGAAGGCGACCAGAGTTGTCCCGGGAGGGCAGTAGCGTGATCTCTCCTGATACATCCGTGTCTTGCTCCACTTTCACCAGAAGCCCTGGCGCCATTCCAGCATCTGGTCTCTGATGGGAGCTATGAAGAGCTCGGCAGAGGCCGGCAGGAGAAGACAGCCTTCCTTCAGCCACTTGGTTCGTGCGTGGAGCACGGAGCTCAGCATGGACTCGTGCAGGAGTCCGTATCCCATCCACTCGTTCACGATGACATCCACCTGCTCCGGCAACTCCACAGTCTCCACCGGCAGGACGTGCACCCAGTCCTCCAGCCCATTGAAGCGCACCAGCTCCCGAGCCTGTTGCCAGATGGCGCTGGCCTCTACCGCGTACATGCGCCAGGCGCCGGCCTGGGCACAGAAGATACTCAGAATGCCAGTGCCCGCTCCCACGTCCAGTACCGTCTTGCCTGGCAGTGCTGCCCAGTTCCGCAGGATGCCCAGGCAGTAGGCATCGGTGCGGACACGGTCTGTGATCATCTCCTCATGGACCGAAACGTCTGAGTAGCACTTGTAGTACAGCTGGTCCCACTCCCGCCTAGTCCTCCGGGGTCGCTCCAGGGCCGCCTCTTGCTCCTCGCCATCTTCCTCTTCTGTTCCCTTCCCTCCTTCGCTGCCGCTCCCTGACTCAAGCTTTCTTTTCTTGGGCTGCGACATCTTGGCCCTAATTTTTTTTAATTGCATAAATTAGAGTTCCCACTTTAATTTTTATGTTCTATGGATTTTAACAAATGCAGAGCCATTTATCCACAACCCAGTATCATACAGAAGTGTTCCTTACCCAACCCCCAAAGCTGCCCTTTGGAGACAGGGTCTTTCTCTGACACTCAGGTTGGAATGCAGTGGTGCAATCACAACGCACTACAGTTTCAAACAATCCTATTACCTCAACCTCTTGAGTAACTGGGACTACAGGCATATGCACACATCCCCAGCTATTTTTTTTACTTTTTGTAAACATGGGATCTCTGTTTCCCAGGCTGGTCTTGAACTCCTGGCTCAAGTGATCCTCCCACCTCAGCCTCCCAAAGGTGGATGCTGGGATGATAGGTGGTGTGAGCCACCACACCCAGCCCAGAACAGTTCTGTTATCCTAAAAATTCCTTTCATGAATTATCTCAGCAGTTAATGTACAGTTAATCTACCCTCTTCCCTACCACCGGCAGCCCTGGCATCTGTTTTCCATCCCATAGTGTAGCTGCTTCTAAAATGTCATATGAATGAATTTACACAATATGTGCACCCTTTGGAGTCTGGCTCCTTTCAATTAGCAAAATTTATTAAAAATTTGTCCATATCATTGTGTGAATCAATAGTTTACTATCTTTTTACAGCAGAATAGTACTCCATTATATGAATGTACTGTGGCCAGGAATTGTGGTTCATGCCTGTAATTCTAACTCTTTGGGAGGCCAAGGTGGGAGGAACACTTAAGACCAGTCTGGACAACATAGGAGACCCCATCTCCATGAAAAAAACTTTTTAAAAAATTTACCCAGGCATGGTGGTGCACACCTGTAATTCCAGCTACTCTAAAGGCTGAGATGGAAAGATCACTTGAGCCTAGAAGTTTGAGGCTGTAATGAGCTATGATCATGGCATTACACTCCAGCCTGGGCAAGAAAATGAGAACCTGTCTCAAAACAAAAAAAAAAATTACCACTTTTTTTTTAATCTGTTCACCAATGAAAGACATTTTGGTTGCTTCTAGGTATTGGAGATTATGAATAAAGTTGCTGTAAACATTTGCATACAGGTTTGTGTGTGCACATAAGCTTTCAGTTTACTTAGGTATAAAGATCTAGGTAGGTATAAAGATCTAGGAATGTGATTGCTAAGAAGTTGCTTTTGTCTTTCCTAAGGTGGCAGAAGTGACAGTCCACATAGGCAAGATTGATATCTAAATCACCACTTGGGCACAGGAGAGAGCAGGGCTGGCATGTCCTTCATCCCTTGAGGAGTGGACTACTTCAATAGACACAGATCCTTTTGAAACTACTATTATATAAGTGATTGCCATCTTCACCTTTAATGGCATAAGTAATCCACTATCACTACTACTAGTAATATCTGCCTGTCATGTCATCCACCTGGTTATATGGAAAAATTCCTTTAGCATTTCTGTGCTTCCATCAAGCAATATGATCTCAATGAGGTGAAAGCTTAATTAACAAAATAATACTCATTTACTTATTTTTATTTTTTGTCTAATTAGTGCTCAATATAAGTTTGTATGTGCTCTATGTCCCCCAACTGAATACACAGATTACTTGTTTTTTTACAAAGAGCAACTAGTCAACATTGAATATTGAAAAGAGCCCTTATTTGAAGGGTCCGGTTGTTTTATAATTCCTGAAAAAATTAAATTACTGAACTTTTATAGCTAGACAAATTATTAAGCCAATTCTACCAATATTTCTTTGCATTAACTGCACAGGTTTATGTAGGCAAAAAACACGAGACTGAAAATTAGCAAGTTTGTTGGAAGATTTTCTTTTTTTATGTATTTTGTCTGAGTTAACTTAGTGAGTCGAATAAAATGGTTGAGAAAATTATTTCTGAATTATTATATGCTACTGACTGTACCCCAGGGACACATACATCAACAGAAATACAGGTGGCTGTAGACCACTTCACTTAAATGAATAAATGTTATATGCTAACGTTAAGCTTTAGTATGACCATGATTGTTTTGGCAATTCAGACAATCTAAGATTGTCACTAACAGGTAAGTAAATAACTGTCTGAATTACATTCCTCATGTTCTTTAGGATGGTTCCAGGCAGAGATGTGAATTAAAAGTCTGTTTTAGCAGTTCTCACCTTGCCACCTATCAAACTCTTCTTGGGAGAAAAGACTTGAAATGATTGCTAAAAAATGAGCATGATTGGAAATTAGTGTATTACTTCTTCAAATATATTTTAATCTTGCTTGCAGTTATAAAATAAATGGCTGTGTTCAGTTTAAAATGCTCATGCTTCAGAAGCAGGTGGTTAAACATTTAACTGGCACGAATGCCCTTCATCTGCCTCTATCCCTCCAGCTTCTGCTTCTGCCTTGACCATTCCACAGAATAACTGCTTAGCACAAAAGGCAAAGGTGGGAAGTGAGGCAATGCTGCAGAGATGTTAGAGAAAAGAGGCAGAGAAGAAAGAAAAGTATTAAGTGAGCATCACAAAACTGCTCCTGGAAAGGTGGGTACAACCTTAGCTATAGCCCTGGGGCATTTATTTTTCATTTTGGGAATATCACTGATGTTTAGATCGATGTTGTGTTCCTGGATTGATGTATTGACCCTACTTTATTTGAGAGCACATATAGTATGTTACTGCAATACATTGCCCTCATTTTATACTTTTCTTTCTGAATTACAAATTATCATAAATAACATTTATAAAGGCAGGATTTTTATGGAAAGCCAAATAATGTACACATTTCATTTTTCCTAAAACCATAGGAGTATATAAATATTTAATAAGTTTCATGTCATCATTTATAATTTATTGTAATATAAAATACATACTGAAAGTGTCAATTGAAACTGGACTTGAAAAACAAATATCAAAAGATCTAAGGATGATCTATGGCCCATCTCTGACCAAAGGAGGAAAATTTCCTCTTACGTTGCACCAGAGATTTATATTTTATAATCCTTTATAAAAGTTAAGATAACAGATAAAGTTCAACCAGAAAATGCAAAAAAAAAAAATTAATTTTGTCTTTAAAAGAATTCTAGACCATGTCCACCAGTCATCCCCAACCCATCCCCAGACAAAATTTCTCATCTTGCACTGAATCACCTCCAAGCATCATATGGCTGCATAGCACTTTCTATATTCATTAAAATGGTAGGTTTTTGTGTCAGTCAATTTTACTAGTTCCTTAGTTCCTGATAGAAAAGAAGAAGTCATGTTCAGTATTTTATTACTATTGATAAGGGTATCACTTCAACCTTAGTATTGATAGAGGGCAGACAAATTCCTACCCAGTGAAACCTTCAAGCCAAAGGCAGTTTTAAAACTTGAAAACCAAACAGACAGTTCCAGGTACTTCCTTGATGCCTTTTAGCCAATCAAATGATGCCTTTTCCAGGCTTGCCCATGTACCAATCAGTAAGCAGTTTCCCATTCTGAGCACATAAAAACCCTGGACTCAGCCACACTTGGGGATTACATGCCTTTGGGTAGGGACTACCTACTTTGGGTCCCCTCTCCACTGAGAGCTTTTCTATCACTGAATAAAACTCCTCTCCACCTTGCTTCCTCTTTGGTTGTCTGCCTAACCTCGTTTTTCATGGATGCAGGACAAGAACATGGGACCTGCTGAATGGTAGGTGTGAAAGGATTTTTAATGCTGCAGCCCTCTTGTCCTCCACCCACACTGGATGCCCTCCTCACATGATGGGAAGTGGCAGCAGGGCCAGGCTAGCCCAGGTGCCACAGGCCAGAATGAGGAATGAACAATCTGGGACTTGCCCCCTTTTGCCAAAACATGTGGACAGGTGGGAATAAATGAGCCATAACGCTTCCTGGGGGACCAGACCTTGGGACTTCCCAAGCCAGAGCTGTAACAAGCTGTAACACCTTCTTTGGGACTCCAAGTTTGCTGGCATGTCTGAATTTTTGAGTGCCATGGTGTTCCCCTTGTCCAGATACCATTGCTCAAGGCAGAAGCCACTTAAGGCACACATGGTCCAGCCACAGACTCACATGAAGCTTGTTTCTGTGCTGGCCCCTTGATTTGCTCTATCCTCTGAGCAGCTGGCATGCCTGGCTGTGCACTGTGGGTGGACCTCATGTATACTCACTCACACACCCCTCCCCACTCCACAACTGGCTCACCTGTGATGGGCATGAGATCTGGGCTGGTGGTGCAAATGAAGCACAGCTTGCCAGGCCAAGTGGGTGGAGCCAGCCCAATGGTCTTTAGCAAAACTTGAGCAGAGGCCCTGCTGGTGAAGTGGCACCAAAAGGATCCTGTCAGATCCATCCTTTAATCTACATTAAATAGCAGATAATATATTTTCTGAGTCTAATGAACAGTTAATCAATGGAATCAATGAATGAGAACCACAGTAACTAGCAACAGCTTTGGCTGACCTTTATAGAAACAATACTACCACTGTGTTGATGATCTCCAGCTAGACTACTGCGTATGTACCAGTAGTCAGTAGACAAAGTTGGATTTTTGTCATCTCAGAGAAGGATGTCACTCATGTGAGACATGAGTTAGGTAGTTAGGCTTGTGTTGATTTTACAGAAGGTTCAGGGATTACAGCTTTGTTCTGAAAGGGTTGCTGTCAAGAAGCAGTTAATTCCTCCACTGATATCTATATGAATCTTATCTAGAAGAAAGGCTTAATCTATGCTTGATAAGAAAGCAAGGGTTGTACATATTAGTCAAAGACAAATAAATAGTGAATCATTTTTATGACATACATATAGATGTCCTTTCTTCTCAGACAAGATTAAAGAATAAAATTTTTAAAATATTTTGCCTCTGTATCAATTTATCTGATGTTGTTCTATGAGGTAAATTATGTTTAATAAGAGAAACTCTTAGGCTAGTTTTGGGTACAAGGCCAGCTCCTCAGAACACTGAGGCTGAGTAGTGTTTCCCAGAATTTAGAATATGCCAATAAATATTCTTATAAAATCCATAAAA